CAAATAAATGCAGTTTTGCTGAGCATTGGAGACTTATTTCAAAAACATTAAAAAAAATCTTAATTATTTCAAACTTTTAACCGGTAGGTGATGGGAAGTCAAATTCTGTTCTTTTCAAAAATGGTTCTTTTGGACAGTTCACTTCAATGAACCAGTTTAAAAAAAACAAATATCACACAAGGACATCATATATACAATTATATTATGTTATTAAAGCACCCAATAATGATATTCTACGTGTCTATAAAGGTAATAAACTAGTATTAATCAACATATCCTTTGACATGACCCATAAAAAAAAATCATAAAAATCAATCAGCTATATCAGCAGCTCATCGTTTCTTCGGGGACATGTCAGAGTCCGGACTGAATCCTCAGTTCAGTGTCCTGGTGACTCGAGATCTGTTGTATCCATTAACCGTCTCTTGCTATCAGTACTGCCGTTGACTTGACTCCAGAACTACTGCCATCGGATCACTGTTAGATTTACTATAGGTTGCTTTATGATTTCCAGAAACATCCATTTTGACCCTTTATGAACCCCTCGGCACATAGTTCTTCTTAGCCTGACGGACAGACTGTCCTCAGTTCAGTGGATATTGAACTGGAGCGCTGAATGAGTTGGCAAATACAGGCATCATAGGATCATTTACTCCTGGACATTGGCTCATTTCGAGTCGGAGTGACTGTCAGGCACATCTGAAAGTGACTTGAGTAACTGTTCTGATTTGAGCCATGAACGGTTTCAGGCGGTTCAGTCCGATTGGTTGAACTGGTTTAATAAATCAATTTCTTGAAACGGTCTCTCAGTTTGGCTAGATTCCAGTAATTCCAGTGAACACAAACCTGAATGCTACACCTTACAATGGAATTATAGAAGTAACCCTTTCCTTCGTTGCTGTAACAGCTTCTGTTTGTCTGGGAAGGCCTTTCTAGGATGTTTGGACATGGATGCAGAGCTTTGCTCCCATTCAGACACCAATTCAATCTCAAAGCTGTTCAGTGAGTTCAAGTCTGGGGTTTGCGCAGGCCAGTCAAGCTTTTCCACAATAGACTCAGTAAAGCATTGCAATACAGACCTTGCTTTGTGCACAGGAACACTGAATAGCTGAAATAGAAACTATTGGCAATGACTGAAAGTCATGACTGAAATCCTGCAGTTTGATAGTTCTATCTAAAATAAAAATAGATTTTCAGCATTAATATCTTCCGTTTATACGAATACAACAATTTAACATGGAATCTTGATGTTTGGGTTCAGCTGGGGTCCATTAAATTCACTAAATCTGAAGTTTGTTACACAGCAAATAGACACATTTTTCGATTGAGAGTAGAAATGTTAAAAACAACAACATGTATCATGATTATCATATTGTTGGATCTGATATTGTCGGATTTACACTGGTATTATGATGCGTTTTGGTCAATCGGATCACAAGTAGACGAGGGAGACACATTCTCATTTACACCTCAGCTGCGTCCAAACACGACTACTTCCCTACTATATAGTATGCGAAAACAGTACGCATTCGATGGACACTTTACTATCCTATGATGCCCCGGGAGAGGAGGAGTTGTCGTTATATTTGAAAATGGCGGTAACCAGAGACGCGGTTAGGAGACAAACACAGACACACATGCTTATCTCTATTGATTCATTCATGTGCAGTAATTTTACAAGCAAATAAATGTATTTTTCCTTGCCAAAAATCTGGCCGATACCGATAATTCTTTATATCTGAAAGCCGATAACCGATATATCGGCCGATAAATTTAAATCCAAATTTGCATCCAATTTTTGAGACCCACGATTACAAAAACAAAAATCTCACAATTAAATCCATGTCCCAAGCGCACGATTATAATAATGTTCTCATTATAGTGTTGTATAGCCGATATGACAGATTTGCGCTGCATTGCGAACCGTATTTTCATTTTATGAAGAGATTTCAATCATATTTCAAGAAATTCAAAAACATAAACAGTGCTCAACAAGTGTTTTAGCTGAAGGAAATAATACATTATTTATCGGCTTTAATATATCGGCCACATTTTCTTACCAGGCCGATAACGATAACATTAAATTAACATATATCGGCCGATACCGATATGCTGGCCGATATATCGTGTATCCCTAGTTCATAGGGGTGTGTGTGTTTTATGAAGTAGAATTTATTAGGTAAATAAACGTTATTTGAGAAATTCCACAAAAGGCATGATCTGCGAGCAGCTGACCGACGCCTCCTCTTGATTGTCGGCTCGAACGACGTAAAAACGCAGATGAAAACAGAAAGCAGAACTAAATACAGCGCGACGTTGGTGAAGTCATTGGAATGGGCTCTTTAAATTTCCGCACTGTTGTGACGGCGTATGTCACGCGACAACAACATGGCGCGTCCGTAGTACGTCCGGACTATATAAAACGTACTTTTTAACGGTTGTGAAGTACGTTCTTATGTACTAAAGATAGTACCTCCTCACATAGTACGCGATTCCACTTCTGTCCTGATTTCTTTGAGGGAATGAGGGTCTCATTCTTAAAATGAAAAAGTACTCATACCGCAATGGCGATGTCAAGCCTATGCGATTATATGACGCAAAATGCTGCGATTTTATGGACTAAATAAATTTGGCCTGTCAATGTTAACTCGTTAAATTGATTAAATATTGATAAAATATTAAACGCACTACATGCAGCATCTAGTGTTACATTATATGATCCCGCTCTTGTTCGTGCAAAAGTTGAACGCAAACTTACGAAGACATGGCCTTGATATTTGCACACTCTGTGACTATACAAACCACAACATGTAAATAGGAAAACGTTTGCGTTATTTTGCCACTCATTTGGATTAGTATGAAAGCTGCAACCATTCACATCCAGTCTTTGTGCTAAGCTAGGCTAGCGGTGGGTGCGTCAAACAGACTTATAGCACGCACGGAGATGAAAAAGGTATGTATGGACTTATCTAACTCTGGGGGGTAAGGTGAATAGGCTAAAGTCCCAAAAAGTCGGAGTGTTCCTTTAAAGGGACAGCAGGCAAAAAGCTTTCTGTCAGTTAATCAAGGAACAGAGTATAAGAGTATTTCCGCAATCACAGAATCGACGACGGAATTGCGGAATTGGCCAATTAACGCGGAATCTAGTGTGAACGCGGAATTTCGTGGAATTTTACATATTTGGTTTGAAATTCTGTTTTTGTGTGGGAGAAGAACGTATGTCTGGTGAAAATGCAGACCGGGGGAAGCAAATCTGGGCGACACAACCCCCCCCCCAACCCGTCATTTCAGCTACAATGACGAAATCAAAACAATGAAAGCATGGCGAAGGAAGCGGCTCTCCACGGCTCTGCTTTCGTCGGCAAAATGTTAAAAAAAAACTCAACGCTATAAGCCGTCAGTGCCGAGCCGAGCAGTTCGCACGTGACTTATGCAGCGTTTCCCACACATAGACTAATTCGCTGCCACACACTGCGTTTCGTTTTTTAACTCTATTTAAAACACGCAGCGTATTCTTTCAGTTTGATTTCCCCGCTCTCCCTCCATCTCTCTCTCACACACACACACACAACGTGCACACCGCGTCTGTCTATGAGGTGCCGGACTGGACAAAATCGAAGCGAACTCTGTGAGCGACACTGGGCGAAAGAGAGAGACTTTATTTAAACATATATAAACTAATATAATTTATATTACTGGACAGTTTAAAGCTCATAACCATATTTTGTTGTTACTTGAAGAGTTTTATGTTGCATCATGCAGTATTTGTCCTGTAAAGGCTACTGAGTAAATGTCTGTATTACCTCAATAAATTTGAGGTCATTCCTAATTTATTTCTATTTTTTAATACATTTTAATCATTAACTTTAAAAGCACACTCTTTTTATGACTAAAATAACAAGGGTCAAGGATAAAAAAAAAACTAAAAAAAAACGAATTCCCAAAAATTAAAGCGGAAAAAAAACGGAATTTAGGAAAAAATAAGACGGATTTCATAGGGCCCTGCTCTTGACTAAATAACTTTTGTAGCTTTTAAGGATTAGTCTAATTTATCATTTATTTTACTTGATAACCAAGCAAGCAGACTCATGAAACCATTGCTTTATTATAATCTCAATATTGACCTCAATAATCGCAATATGACATTTTCCCCAAATTACACAGCCCTATTTCTAACAGGGTTCTTGTGCAACTGAGCAACTGCCGGCGGGTCCAATGAATGTGAAGACTAAAGGCACGTTCACAACAAGGACGATAAAGATATTTGTCAAAATCGTTCTAAATGTAAAAGAACAGCAGAGACCACAACACAAACAGCCAATCAGAATCCATCCTACTTTAAAAGGGCTCAAGCATTTAAAGCGGCAGACGACAAATGAACACAAAGATATCATGCTCTGCTGTGAATGCTGTTATATGCTTATAGTCATTCTTGGTGTGAACAAGCCTTAGTTTGGGCTGGGCTGGGAATTAGGGAACGACAGGAAGCTGCCTGTGAAGTGTATTAGCATGGATTGAGGAGGCATTGATCGAGGATGAGAAGTGAAACATGATCTTGGATGAATGAAACGCAGGACTAGAGAAAGTGTTCTTGCTGTAACGCAGCCACACGTCTCAGTTTCTCAGACTGTTTGAATGAGTCCGTGATCTTCTTGTCGCACTAATGACATTTGAATTATTTAGAAGCCATTCACACAGCATGTTCTTCCAGTATACTGTATACTTTTGGGAATATTTTAAATATGTTGGTCAATGTGAACAAGTGCCAGACTGACATCTTTGGCAAGTACGTCATGGTTTGGCAGTGGGACACAAGTCACTAATAGCAATGTCCTGTCAACCACCCAGAACAGTATATTTTGCACCATTAAAATCATTTAAGATAACTCATCTGAATATTTCATTCTGTGATGCAATGGTGAATGTTCGGCATCATTACTTCACTGTCACACGATCCTTCAACAATCATTCTAATACTGATTTGATGCTCGAGAAATTTTCATTTTCATTGTTAAAGGAGTAGGTCACTTTAAAAAAAAAAAAAAAAAAAAAAAAAAAAAACTTGTGCTAATAATTTATCCCCCATGTCATCCAAGATGTCCATGTCTTTCTTTCTTCAGTCGAAAAGAAATTAAGGTTTTTGATGAAAACATTCCAGCATTTTTCTCCTCATAATGGACTTCAATGGGAACCAAACAGTTCAAGGTCCAAACGAGAGTTTCAGTGCAAACTGTTCAAAGGGCTTCACGTTCAAATACTGTTCAAAGGGACACGTCAGCCTCGTCTTACGTCGGCAGCGTCACTGAACCGGAAGACAATACAATGCTGAATTAAGTCGTAGTTTTTGTTAATTTTGGACCAAAATGTATTTCTGATGCTTCAAAACACTCTAACTAAGCCACTGATGTCACATGGACTACTTTGATGATGTAGTCTCGGACTAAATCTAAAATATCTTGAACTGCGTCCTAAAGAGGTCTGGGCTTGGGACAACATGAGTCATTAATGACATCATTTTCATTTTTGGGTGAACTAACTAAGCCTTTAGTTTTTATAGCCATCTTTGATCATATCTACCAGGGCTGCCATTAATGCTGAGAACAACCGTATGAGATTGCCAAGCGACGAGTAAATCATTTATAGAGAAATGATTCCCGGAATATAACAAACAAAAGCACTACTACAGGAAATAATGGCACGGCATACAAATGCCCTTCTCTGTGGACATCATATTTAAAAAGGTCCCGTAGAGCTTCCCGAAGCTATTACTACAGGCTTTGTATACTGCAAGTAAAAGAGGCATTTGGTTATCAAGCAAAAAACAAGATTTGCATATGTAAATTTCCACGTATTACGCAGACAATGAGGAATATTTCAGCCTTTTTTTAGAACGCTTTAAATAAAGGGTTTTTTTCTTCATCGTACAGACGACCGAAGGAAAACTCAAAACTAGACATTTTTCAGTAATGGAGACAGCAATGGGTTGGTCTTAAACGAACTTGAAAAGTCATATTTCAAGATGAAATTCATATATCTGCACTATATTTTTAATGGATGCATCAAGATATCAAACATGTTTCAGCCAATCACCCAAAAATGTACTGGATATAATTTTGCAACAAGGATTAAATGTAAATTTCCCATCAACGTTACATGTATAGGTATTAAAATCTATAATGTGTGATTGTTTGTGAGTGGCTGAACACTGAATAATTGTAAATTGTGCTTACATTGTGCATTAGAGCAGCACGGTTAATCGGTAAAACGCGGTCATCTCCATTCACACGATATTTTTCTAAACGACTACGATTATTAAACTCTTCGACAAGAACAGCGGAGCATTCAAATATGCGAGTTTCATTTTAAAAAAGCAGATTCATCCAATAATCAAACAAAGTCTTTATGAGTGAATCCTAAAAACTTAATAGACTATTTATTTTCAAAATTAAACATTTACTTTATGTTAAAGTTTACTCAAACGTATTAAAAGTTTAAAATAATTATATGCTACACTTTACCACAAAATGTCACCAAAATTCAAAGCCAGTCTATGCTATGATGACATCACTCTGAGACGAGACATACATCTAAAATCACTATAATAACTCCGTTTCATGAGTTCGTGAACTTTAAGATTTAAGATAATGCTACACCGGACCAAAAAGCATCGAGAAAAGAGAGGGGAACCGAGGGAGTGAACTGACATTTCAACAGCAGACAGAAGAGTTGAGTTATTCGACTGCAGGCCCACACTTCCTCCACACACACACACACACACACACACACGAGAGCTGTCAGAGGACTGAGGCTCACTGTCACCGCAGCGCATGAGATCATGAGAACACAGAAACACTCCAGCGAATCAGAACCAACAAAGACATCGAGAGCTGACATCAAACCACTTCTAACAAAGCGTTCGCAAAAATGAAATATTACATATAATATTAAGTAATAAACATTTTTTACCTAAATTATATTATTTATCCAATAATCAAGAGTTGTATGACTCATTATAATATAATTTGTCACTTTAATGAATGGTAAAGAAAATAAGCTAATAGGTGCGGTTTTTGCATTAATACTATACATTAATTGTGCCTAAAATATATTTCTCCAAAAATCGAACTATAAATCTTAGAAGCAGTTTTGTGACTTATATATTATATTATATATAAAAAACGGTTAGTTCCAATCCTTGCTTCTGATTGGTCAATAGCTGTGCTTTATTCATGATAACACACGGCTATGACCGCTTCACTGAATCACTGCGCAACACTGCAGTTCCTGTGTTGTGTTTATTTGAACTTCCATGCATATTACACATTGAAGCGTTGTTGCTGTTCATGGTCAGGGACTATTTTTTCTAGCGGAAGGAAGGCTTTTAGTGATTTTACTTCATGAATGTTGAACTAATACCTTTTTTTTTTTTACTGTAGCCTTCAAACCGTATTCACTTTATAGCCCTTAATCCCGTAATTGTGAACAAATGTGGGCACAGAGGACTCAGGTGTGATCCTAATTTTTATTTATTATAAATGTTATATCACTGTCTTCGACAATGTTTTGTCTATCCATTTATGGTGTTTTTTTTAATTTTGGGGGTATTTTTGAATTTATTTACTTCAAAAAGTACCATATTTTCTATGTAACTTATGCTTATTTTTAGGTTTTATGTTTTTTTTTTTTTTTTTTTCATTTTTTTAACTATATTAAAATATCATACCAATAAGTTCTTAGAGCTAAAACCTAAAGATGAAGTGACTTTGTTGTCACCTGGTGTCTTATTTTAGAGTGCTCTAAATTACAGTTTTTCCCATTCATTTCTATGGGTGCCCATTTTTGATTTCTTTTTTTTTTTTCACCCACTTAAGATTGTAGAATTGAGTCCAAAAAAAGTCTGTGTGTGTGTGTTCAGGAGGCAAACGTCAGAAGTAGCCAAGTCTTGTACCTTGTGTATTTTTTTTAAATAAATCAAAACTATTTTGCCCACATTTGTCCAGAATACGGTTTTAGGGTTAATATTTTTATTGTGCGGTAACCGTTTTATAAAAGCAATAATGTACTCAAGGCAAGTGCTGTATGGTGAATAAGTAACGGCTGAACTCCGCCATACAGCACAGCCTCTCGGACCTTATTGCTTACTTATATCATATTATATACGGCTTTTGCATATTTTTCGCTAATTGTATTAAAGTCCCCCTGTGGTCAAAATCCGTTTTTAATGTTGTCTATGTCTGTGGTGTTTTAATAAGCTTTAATGGCTCGTTTCCACCGAGCGGTACAGTACAGTACGATTCAGGACGGTACACCCTAATCTGGCTTGCGTTTCCACCGCAAACAGTACGCTTACTTGATATGCGTGGCGTATGCCGGAAAGTAGCGACCGATGTCATTCTCGAGTGAAGAAGAAAGCGATACAGTGAACAACAATGGAGGACATCCAGCAGAACGGTTCGTCACAAGACGAACAAACATTGCATTGCAGCGGTATTGTTTTTCAATATTAAAAAAACAACACCTCTTGGGTTGTCGTTCCCTTTGTAGCGCGTAAACAACGATCTCTGTCAACCAATCAACACTCTGCAGGGAGTCGCGCTCCACCCTTTAGTACCAGACTACTGTGCCCCAGTCCCATAAAAATTGCTACATACAGCTCTGTATTTTGGTACAATTCACAACTTCTGACAATCAAAAATGCGCAATCCAATGTACTGTACTGTAGCGCTCGAGCCATTAGACAAACCATGTGTAAACGAATAAGTCAACAGCATTGTTGAGTGTTTTCTCTTTAAAAAAGAACTTTGAACGTCACAAGTTTCGTGTGTTTCTGACGTCACAAACTACCTTGTAACCAATCAGATCAACGTGCCGGCGGGCACTAGCGAGAAATGAAAGGTTATCCCGCGTTTATCCTGTTGATATTAAAAATTGGGTACATTTATCAATATAGTAGGGGTGTAACAATACATGTATTCGTATTGAACCATTCGGTACGAGTAGGCTTGCTACGGCAGTCGGTGTTACCGGTGTTCAGTCGCAACACCGGTTTCATGACATGCCCATCGCCATTGCTCAAAGTTAAAAAATATCAAACTTTATGATGTTAGTTTTAATAAAAAATATTATTAAAAAATTAAATCAAGGAAATTTCTCTGCCATTTCTTTCTTTTTGGTGTATTTGAAACGTACCGAACCGTGACACAAGTGTATCATATCGAACCGAACCATGAATTTTGTGAATCGTTACACCCCTACAATATAGCGGGAGAATTTATATGTACATGATGTGACGGATGATGTGACATGGGTTGTGTAACATTTCCAACACATTATTAGCTGTTTGATAACGTAGCCAACCAAAAGACTAATCATATTAATTAGCGTTATGTGTCCGACGTTGTAAAGAATGATAGATAATAGGACTGGGTAATAAATATCGATTTCTCGATATTAATCGATTCTCATTTTTACGAACCGATATCGAATCGTAAATCTCAAGAATCGATTAGTCATCCTGTTTCATTTGAATGATTGGGACATTGTCTCGCGGCTGGGCGCATCCAAAAAAAAATTGCAATAATCTTTGTCCTTTGTGAGTATTGATATGAAACAAAGTCTCAGTTTTCAAATTACGTCCATTTTCTTTAGAAATTCAAAAACATAAATAGCGTTTTGGCGCTGTGGCGTGAGATCACTCTGGCGCAGCTCAAGAGAAGCAGCAGCGCTGATCTCTCTTCCGGGTTAATAATACCAGTTACAGCGCCAAATAAACATGAATGAGCATCTGAAAGTGTGTTAAAGATAGAGTACAACTTATCGAAATCCGGATCATGTCACATTGATTCGCCAATCAGCGTTTTAACCGTGGAAAGACGTCAGTTAAACAGCTTGTAATCAATGTCATGTATCGTCATATTTACCTCAGAAAACCCACATAAACTCGTTAGTCAGCTAGAAAAAACAACTCTAGAGAGGAGCATTTTGCTAAATATATACACCATATTACATACGCATTATAATCCT